GGGGGGACGCACAGCAATGTCAAAGATCTTCCCCTCACCAGAGAGAAGTGCCTCGGGCGAGAGCTTTTCCTCATCAAAGGCTGGAGTTGGGCGGCCTCTCCCTTCCTGCCCCTGTACGGTGGAGAGGCCGCGGTGGGGCACACACTCGGGCACACACTCGGACGGCCTGGGGGGCAGACGAGCCGCCCTGGGAGCGGGGGTGTTCACGGGCGCGCGTGCGCGGGGGCGTGCCTGCCCCGGCCATGTGCGCTCCCGGCCGCGGCGGGGCGGGGGGCTCTCTCGGAGCCCCCTTACGCGGGGGGGGGGGGGGGGGGGGGCGCGGAGGGGGACACACACACACACACACACAGGGGGTCCGTGCGTACAGCAACAAAGGGCGGCGCCCAGGCACATGTGGCTATGTGAGCATGATGTGTGGGCCAAGGCGCGTTCACGTGAGACCTCGCCCTAACCCACCCCCTGGGGGGGGGGGGGGCGGAACCGGAAAGCTGGCCACAGCACGCACCGTCAACCAAAGCCGAGGGGTTGAGACCCTCAAGGCGAGTGAGGAAGATCTTCTTGTCGGACTTGGCCGTGATGACCACGAAGTCCGCCTCCAGGCTGTCAAAGGGCACGGCCCGGTAGCGGAAGAGGGCCGCCTCGCGGGGGAACCAGTAGAAGTAGAGCCCGGCAATGCCGGCCGTCAGGATGATGGAGGCCCAGAAGGCCACCGCGCGCCAGAAGGAGAACACCAGGAAGACGGCCTCCTGGATGGTGAGGATGGCGGCATCCTCATCGACATCCTCGTCGTCCTCGTCATCGGCGGGGGGGCTCTTGCCCGGGTCCTTGCTGGGGTCCTTGCCGGTGGGGCCGAGTTTTTTGCCCTTGCGCGGGGCCTTGGCCCCGCCGCCGCCGGGCCCGGGGGCGCCGCCGGACTTGCGCTTCTTGGCGCCGCCTCCGCGCGAGGAGGAGGAGGCGGCGGCGGCGGCCTGTGTGCCGGCCACCCCGCTGCCGAGGGCGGCCCCGGCCGTCAGCATGCCCTCCAGATGAGGGTCCGGCTGGTTGAGCAGGTGCACCGGGCGCTGCTTCAGGGCATCGGTGTCCGATGCCAGGAGCGGCGATTCCGGCGACAGGACATCATGCGAGCCGAGGTCCAGATCGTCCAGGTCGTCGCTGTCGGTGGCGGTCACCTGGGGCGAGTGCGCCGGCGAGGCGCCAGCCAGAGCGGCCAGCCCCGGGTCCCGGTCATAGGGAGAGGACAGGTGCGCCGCGGGCGAGGCGTGGCCGCTGTTGGGGGCGGTCGGCACGCCATCCGACGACAGGTCGGAGAAGCCGCCGCCCGGGCCCCCGCCGATCGAGCAGGCGGACGAGCTGCCCGAGGCATAGGAGGAGGACAGGTATGCCGTGTCGGAGGCCGGCGGGCCGCCGGCCAGCGGCGCGTGGTGGTGTTGGGGAGGGAGGGGGGAGTAGGAGCCCGGGGGCCGGGGGTCCGAGCCCGACTCAGTGGCATCCGTCGATGAAGAAGAGCTCATCGACGAGCGTGCCAGGAGAGGCGACCTGGCATGGTCCGCCGACTGGTAGGAGGAGGAGGAGCCCGGCGGACTGGCGCCCAGGTGTGACGGGGCCGTGGTGGGGGTGGAGGAAAGTGGCCATGTTGGGCGATCGGGACGCAGCTCGCGCAGGTACTTATCGGGAAGAAAATCCATCGGGAGGCGGGGGGGTCCGAGATCTCGAGAGGGCGGGCGGTGGGCTATACTGCTACTATACTGCGTCGGGGGGCTCTCTTTCTGGTGCGCGCTATTTCGGTGGGATCACCGGCAGCCGTGGGGGAACGGGGAACGGGGAACGGGGAACGGGGGGGGGGGG